CCTTCTTTGGTTGCTATCATGGAGGTCTCCCGGTGAACTTGTGGGGAGTAAATCTGCCACTGCCCAGAACATGAGAGTGAATGAACAGGGCCCAAGTTCTGTAGAGTCCACCTTTTATCGTTTGGCTCTTCACTTCCTTGCCAAAGTTTTCTTTGGGGATTTTTCATCAGTACATGGGCCAAGCCAGAGGTGGAGATGTTGCACGGTGGTTCTTACTACAGCTGAGTTACAGCAGCGTCGCTAACCCCTAGGCCACAGACCGGTACCATCTATGGCCTGTTAGGAACCTGGCCGCACAGTGGAGGTGAGCAGTAGGTGAGTGAGCCGAAGCCTCATCTGTAATTAGAGCTGTTATCCACCACTTGCATTACCTGAGCCTTGCATTATCAGGCTGAGCTCCGCCTCCTGTCAAATCTTCTAGGCGTTCCAACCGGCCTGTGAATTGTGCATGCGAGCGATCTAGGTTTCGTCACTCATGAGAATCTAATGCCCACTGCTGATCTGAGGTGGAGCCGAGGTGGTGATGCTAATGCTGGAGGGGGCGGCTGCCACTATCTCCCATCACCCCCAGATTGGACTGTCTAGTTGCAGGAAAACAAGCTCAGGGCTCCCACTGATTCTGTGTTATGGTGAGTTGTATAATTATTTTATTATATATCACAATGTAATAATACTAGAAATAAAATGCACAATAAACTAAAGGCGTTTGAATCATCCTAAAACCATCCCCTCACCCCCAGTCTATGGAAAAATGGTCTTCCATAAAACCAGTCCCCGTGCCAGAAAGACTGGGGGCCATGGTGCATTTGCCTTTGTTGTCAGCCTCTTCCTCCTGATGTGGTCATGTAGGCTCTTAGATCGTTACAGCCCTACTGTATTCATGCAGCTTTGTTTCACCGTTGGCTGAAAGTATAGAACAAGGTTGGACATTGTGCCTTGATAAGTCCTGTAACAGGTTGGGAGGAGTTCTGACTGTTGTTTTCCACTGTGTTTGATACATATTCTTCTGAGAAGAACACAAAGATCTCCAGAAACCTCTAGGGCAAGGAAAAGACTAGTTAATATTCTGTCAGCTTGGAACTCCAAGATCTTGTGTGTGCTTGGGCAAAGCCCATGTGCATGTGCATGAAGTCACAATTGAGAATGAAGTATTTTTTTGTTGTTGTTCATTCGCCATAAGGGGGCACTCTTGCCTTTGCTTCCTCACTTTTTCTGGACTAGGCAGAGAACTTTGTGGATTTAGGAGCCAGTTGTTAATTTGAGGACTGGTTATTAACGACCAACCATGTTTGTGGTCATTTCTGTCCAAGATTACAACTAATTCTTGCCTAATGCATAACATATGAAAAATTTTCTCAAAGAATAACTGTGTCCCAAATGGGACATGAAAATAAAAACTTGACAAATAGTTAAGAGTGGTCAGAGACTCAGACAGGAGGGAAGAAGCACGGAAGGTTCTAATGGAGGCTTCACACTTAATAAGACTGTTGGTATTATCTTCAAGCAATGATTATTTTGTGTTTGTGGGTATGAAAGGTGTTAACTTGTTAAATGTTAAACATTTAAATTACCCTATAATTGTAACTCATTTTTTTTAATATATGGAGAGATTTTCAAAATGTGACTCCTGAAAGACATCAGGTTATAATAATACTGATTTTTAAGAAGTTTGTTAGTGATTCATTCAAGAGTATTTATTGAGTATTTATTGTACTGTGCAAGTTTCAAGGTCTGTTTCAAACTAAGCAAGTAAAAGTCTTTCTCTGTCAACTTGTTTTAATAGTATTAAAACAAATACCTTGTATTTTTACCCTGTGCCTTCCTGGGTTTTGAAGCCTTCACATAGGGCTTTGATCTTTACAACAACCCGGTTGATAGGTGAGGGGAGCATTTTCTCTGCTTTATAGGCAATGGTATGCCTCTTAAAGAGATGGTTTTGTATGCCTTTATATTTCAAACAGGCCGATAAGAGTTCCAATAATCTCAATAGAAGCACTCATTTACACATGACACAGATGCATTGAAATATAGTGTTTAAAACTAAATATGCATTAGCATCTATGTCAAGTCGGGCGTCAAGGAATCACTTAGGGGAGTTAAAACACTGCCCCCGCCCCCCCCATCCATCATTAGCATCCCCTACTGTTTGGGTGCTGGTACTGTTTGGTTTTCGGAGTCTTTTGTAAACTGCTCTATAAATGCATCTTGGATGTCCCATTCCAAAACTAAACTCCTCCTTGTAGAGGTGTCAATCTTGAAATCCACACTAACAGGGTTCTGCTCTCAGTTTAGCTGTGACCTTCTATTGAACCCTAGCTAGTCTTGACATTTCTGAGACTGAGTCTTCATTTTTACAATGAGGGGTTAGATTTTGATCTTTATCTTCACCTTCTATAAATTTTATGGATTACAGCTGTAAGATGCTACAACATGTCTCATCTCTGATATCTAAGAGTAATCATTTCAGTTACATAGTTGCCAAGACAGTCTTACCTAATTTTGGAAAGAAAAAAAACATAAAGGTCACTGGTAAAAAGAAATTGTGTCATTGGTAAAAGGTTTTTCCAATTACATGTTCTATATTTTCTGGGAGATGGTGCTTTACACAGTCTTGTGGTGAGTTGGTACCAAACAGCTTTGAGATTGTGTTAAATATGTACACACCTAGTGGGTGTATTCTCAGCAAAGTGATTTGATCTCTAGGATAGCTAGGGAAGAAAGAATTCCTATTGTCCAATTCTGTCAGAATGACCACGCCAAGATAAAAATACACAGGAAATCAAAACTAGAGAAGCAGCAGAAATAATGTGGCCAAAATCTTAATACCATCAGAAATCAGGAAATATCTCTTTCTATGGAAAAACCATCCCAGTAAGTAAGTAGACCTAAATGACATCAACCGGTGCCCCAGAAAAAATGATGCCTTTTTAACACTTAAAGTCAATATATCCTAAAATGAGCATTGAGCCCACAAATATTTTTGAACCTTATTATGTGCAAGGTATAATGCTTGACATCGCGGAAAAAAAATCCTAGGAGATGGACTCTGTGCCCCCAAAAGACCTATTCATCTAGCAAGTAATTAAATACATTTTGTGTAAATTAGAAGTGTTTAAAGGTACACATTTAGGAAAGGTACATGCCCGTTTAGGAAATGGCACTACTTAAGAGTAAATAGGGCTCAATTATATTTGAGTCAATTGAGTGATACTAGTCAAAATGTTGTGCCTACCTTTCCAGCATTCTCCATGACAGAGTGGACAACTGATGAGAATTTAACTGACCGCTTTCCCTGAGACAACTGCATTTGTATATAGGAGGACTTGGGCAGCTTTGTGGGCTGGAAAGGCAGAGAAGCTGGTAGCTATTCTTCAAAGTGCTGCAAGTTAGAGGGGAGAGCCTGGGCCAAGCAGACTGAGGCTGTGGTTTCCAGGTCTTGCTGTTCAGTGTTTTACAGAGCATATTCTAACAGGTTTAGGGAGAGAGGGACAGAAGAACCGAGTAAGGAAAAGGACAGCTTGGTTGAGGCTGGGGGCTCAAAGGAGGCAGTCCTGAGAGCAATCTATTAGTGAAGTCCAAATTAAGCCACCCACTTAAAAAAAATCTGAGAGAACCCAAAGCATTCCAGCAAAAAGCTGAAACCACAAGAAAAGAACAGCATGTGCTGAACTGAAAGTTGAAGGTTGACTTAATTTTTGTAGATGGCAAATGTGAGTGATATTTTGCTTATGAGCAGAATTCATTTGTAAGTCTGAGACTTACATATTGATATGTTATTATATATTATGAATTGAACTATTATACATCATTCATTTCAGGTCCATATATTGGTCTGTATTTTTGTTGTACTTATTATTTCCTTGTAGTATAACATATGGTGTTATATCTTTTATTTCTTGTTATATGACTGATTTTAATTGCAAGCTTCCTCAGTTACTCCTTAGGTAAAATGTGGAGAATGCATTTAAAATAATAGATGTTTCATTCTGTAACTGGGCTCCAGGCACTATATTTTCCCTTCTGTTAAGATTATGGCAAAAAATAATCTTGGCAGCTGGCAAACCCAGCTCTTCCAAGGACTGCATTTAATTACTTCAAGTAAAACATTTAGCTAATGTCTAGCATACAGTACACGGTAACTTTAACAACAGTATTACTATTTTCTCATTCAATGTCTAGCAGACATTACACAGTAACTTTAACAATATTATTATTACTATTTTCTCATTTAATGCTTGCAGTAGCCTCATGAGATGGGTATGACTGTTATTTCCCTTTGGAAAGGGGGGTTAAGATAAAGCAGAACTTCCTGGAGTGAGGCGCTGGTCCCAACGTCATAGACACAAGAATGGGCAAAGCTAGGATTAGGAGTGACCCTTGGCTTCCGTTTCCATCCCAAACTTCTACCCTCTAGAAGTCTCTTTCGTCAGGCCCCCGGGTCAACCGCGGAGGTTGCTTTTCGTGTAAGTCGCAGGGTCACACACACTCCACCCCCGCTCCCGGCCCAGACAAGACCCATCTGATCTCTCCTAATGCCGACTTTCTCAGGCTCAATCCCGGCCAGTTGACCACAGCTGATGGCGGAGAAACGCAGCGGTGGGGGTGGCCTCGCCGTTGGGCTCACAGCACCGGGGATGGTTTGGGGGATGGCGGCGTCAAGGACGTGGGGCAAGTTGGCGTCGCGGAGCCAGCAGAGGGAAGGGCTAGGAGGGCGCGACATCATCTGTTCAATCAACAGCCTCCCCGTAGGCTTCAGGGAACGCAAAAATACTCCCTTTTTCCCTCCAAGTGGGTGGTTTACGGATTGCACTGCTTTCCTCCCTAATGAGATGCAGCGGCTTTTAGCCAGATTTGGATGGGCAGGCTCTGGATGTTAACTCCAGCCCTTGACTTTTTTTTTTTTTTTTTTTTTTTTTGTTTGTTNACTTTTTTTTTTTTTTTCGGTAACGCGAAAGATAAAAGTCGCTGTCCCCTCTCTCGCCGGAGTACCTCCCCGTTCCCGTCGCTGCTTTGGGCGACTCGGGCGCACCGCGAAGGGACGACCCTCCGGCCGCGTTTGGGGGGCTCCTCCGAGGGAGTCTGCGTGCAGTAGGGTCTGGAGCTTTCCCCCAGCCGGCCGGGGAAAGATATGGGAACTGGAGGAGGTTCCCGACCTGCTACCCATCCCGGCTGATTTCCTCGCAGGTCGCCACCGCTCGCGGCCAGAGACCCGCGCGGTTCTGTCTAAGAAAGGTTAGTTTGCGGATTGCTGCTAGCTAGATCAATAGAGCGCGCCAGCAGAAAGAAAAGACTCGAAATAGGAAAGGTATGTCGCTTTTTAGAGGTTTTTTAAAAAAATAGTCACATTTGTGTCTTTATTAAAACACTCAGACACAATAATGTATTATTAAAAAACACAAGTAATTCTATCTTGCTTGAAAAGGGGTTGTTTTTGGTGATGATGGAAATAATCTCTCATGTCTGGGGATGCTGATAATCCATAAACTGAGTTGTTAAAACTCGTAGAAACTCTGCACTGAAGCTCTGTGCATTGTATCGTGTATAAATTGTATAAGTTGTACGTCCCTTAAAACATCAGAACGTAATCCTGTAGGCGTAGTAATTACTGCGGGCCATTGCGTAATTGCATATCTGAATGCCATTGAACGCAGCTGTACTTGAGTATTTATAGCAACTAAGAGCAATTCTGTTGGATTATTTATTTTTGCAAGCTCCGCGAAGACGGGAAAGGGAGGACAAACGGCGGCTGACATCACGGGGGGGCGGGTCGAATGCCCCAAGAAAAGCCTTAGGATCCGAGCAGCAGTGCTGCTTGCCACAGCCTCATCATGAACAGCCACAACCGCTCCGAGCTCCACGTCGTCTGCAGCTCTGGCCAGCTGCTCCTGCAGCCCCTCTGGGACCGCCTGAGGACCTGGGAGGCTCTCATGCAGTCGCCCTTCTTTCCTGTCTTCTTCTCCATCACCACCTACGTGGGCTTCTGCCTGCCCTTCGTGGTGCTGGACGTGCTGTGCCCCTGGGTGCCCGCGCTGCGGCGCTACAAGATCCACCCGGACTTCTCGCCGTCGGCGCGGCAGCTGCTGCCCTGCCTCGGGCAGACGCTCTTCCAGCACGTGGTGTTCGTGTTCCCCATGACGCTGCTGCACTGGGCTGTGAGCCCGGCCCTCCTGCCCGTCGAAGCCCCCGAACTGTCCCAGCTGGCGAGCCACGTGGTGCTCTGCCTGCTGCTCTTCGACACCGAGTTCTTCGTGTGGCATCTGCTGCATCACAAAGTGCCCTGGCTGTACCGGACCTTCCACAAGATGCACCATCAGAATTCGTCCCCGTTCGCGCTGGCCACGCAGTACATGAGCGTCGGGGAGCTCTTTTCCTTGGGTGTCTTTGACATGGTGAACGTCTTGCTGCTGCGGTGCCATCCTCTCACCACCCTGACCTTCCACGTGGTCAACATCTGGCTGTCGGTGGAGGACCACTCCGGCTACGACTTCCCCTGGTCCACGCACAGACTGGTACCTTTCGGGTGGTTTGGGGGCGTGGCGCACCACGACCTGCATCACTCCCAGTTTAACTGCAACTTCGCACCTTACTTCACACACTGGGACAAAATACTGGGAACTCTGAGGTCTGCTCACGCCAAGTAATGTGCACCATACCCCTCCTGGCAGAGTGCGTGGTGGGTGCACTTCAGACCTGGGGCATCTCACACTTGAAGCAGGACAGACACACTTGAGGTGGACTTGAGGTGGTTTTGTTTTGTTTTGTTTTGTTTTTTTCCGGTGTGTAACTTATTATCTGCTAGAAACTTACAGAGAAAATCTGATGTATTTTTCACAATCTAATACAGTAATTTATTGTAATGTTTGTATATCAGCAGTTGTATTCTTGATGTGGAATTCTAACTCACTTCAGTACCCTTGATTTCTGGGTATAAAAGATCCAAAATCACTGGCATATGTAAATAAGCTCTAAAATGATTTGTTTGTAGAACAAGGAACTTTACTATGTTTGAAGGTGTCCTAGAACTAAGCTAAAAGAATATATTTTTACGGAGCATCTGATCTCTAACTATAAAAATGAAGCATGGTCCTGCTGGACAGTGACTCAGATTATTGTACTTTTAAAAAATATTTTTGTAGACTTGTATATTTATATTGAAATAAATGTTATTTGTGCTTGAAAAAGAGTAAAGCACCTAAACTCAAGTACTGGCTTCTGTCATTTTCACTAGTAGTTTGGCTGATAGGAACTGGAATGGAAGAGGGAAGTGGGATGGTAGAAGCTCATGAGTCTGCATCAGCCCAGCTGTGGAAAGAGAGGAGTCCGGTGGTGATGTCTGAAGGAAAGAAGGCAGTAGAAGAAGGGGTCTGTGTGTTGGTCTTGGTCTAGAGATTTCTCAGAGGGGAAAACACCATTGTTCTGGGTGAGTTTCAGCTGATTTCTGCCTAACAGGGAACTAATGAGACTTACTCTATAAAATTTTACAGAGAGTAAATTTTAAAAGTTTCATTTTGGGGGGAGAAGGGCTGTCTTGGGGGATGAATAGAATTAGTGAAGTCCTTTGCTTTGCAAAACTGTTAAGTGTCTGCTTTAAAGGGGCTCCAGGTGGCGCAGTGGTAAAAGAAGTTCTCTTGCCAAGGCAGGACTTGCAGGTTCTATCCCTGGGTGAGGAAGATTGCCTCAAGTAGGAAATGGGAAGCCACTCCAGTATTCTTGCCTGGAAAATTTCATGGACAGAGGAGACTGGTGGGCTGTAGTCCATGGGATCACAAAGAGTCAGACACAACTGAGCTTGCATGCAGATAGGGAAGGGATTATATGAATGAGCACCCCCCACCCCAACAACCTTTCATAAAGCTATCTAATACAAATGGCTATCATACAGGTTGTCTCTGCAATTTGAAATTTTTGTATGTTCACTTTTCTTTATGAAGCCATGCATGCAAACTGCATGCTCCTTTCTCAAAAAAAGAAAAAGTGAAATTTGGCCCTGGATCCCTAGTTTCTCACCTGCAAAGGAGATTGACTGTGGCCCAGATGTTTTCATAGATTACAATAAATGTGCCTACAACTGACCACACACCAATCACCCATCATAAACCCCATTCTACTGCTGCCTAATTGTTTTAACTTTATCTTTGGAACATAGTTTAGATAGAAAGGGTAAATTTAAAAAAAAATCAAGACAATTAAAAAATCTGAAGGACAACTGCTTTGCATGGAACTCTAGGCTCATTATATATGCACCAAACTGTCTTGTTTAAAGATGAAAAAATCCATCTGAAGATTTGATAGCCACACTCTGTACCAGTGCTCCAAGCATTTGGCAAAATACAATCAGATTGCCTGGTTGCCTGGCGCTGATTTTCTCACATTCCCTTCCAATGGCTATGCCTTACTGGCTTCTGGCAGTAGTCACCTCCTTGATCACCTGCAGCAGGATCATGCTGGGACTTAAAGACTATGTCGATGAATAGAAGTGAAATTCACAGAAGCAGGTAGTGAGGGAATAAGGCTGCACTGCAGTTAGTGTATTAATATCATGATCCACATGGTGAATGGAGAAAGAAAAGGAGGATGAACAGACTGGTGTAGAATATATATAGTATTAGTTGTTTTGAGCAGCTTTAGGCATCCAAAAACAGCCTGTAAATCTTTGATAATGACAGTTAATTAAAGCTCGCTTCCAGAGAAATTTTGAAATGGGTCATCCTGTCTCACTGTGTAAGGGAATTTCCCACTTAGGGCAAATTGTATACATGGAAGTTACTTGGGTTTAGAACACTTTCCCAGAGTTGGATGTCTTACCAGCTTTTAATACCTCTGGAAGTGGAATGGGGAAGTGGAGAAAATGAGCAATTTCTCAGTTTTGAGAGAATAATAATAATAATAATGAAATAGTGTACATTTGCTTGAACTTTCTCACATCTTTTCACTTGCTCCTCACAACTGCACTCTAAGGGATGTAGAATAATTTATTATTTTTTTCCATGTTATGAATGGAAAATTTGTACCTGCACCAGTTAAGTGACTTGCTCCAGATTATAAAATGCTTGGAGTTGGAGGCAGTTCTTGAACTTAGGTCTCATAGTGTGTACTGTAACTGTCTTTGAATGATGCTTACGATAATATTCACAACTGGCAATTGAGCTGCAAACTCTGCAATACCAATAAATGGGCTCCTTCTGCTATTCCTCCCCCATCAAACACAGCTTCCACCCCAAATTCAAAGCCTCTGCTTGGCAGGGGAGAAAGCCAGGTCAGTCTTAGCAGGACTTGGGAAAGCATGAAGCATGTCAAAGGCTTTATTTTCTGCATCTCTCATTGCACATCAGATTGCCTGGAAGAGGCAAGGGGACTTGACTTGGGACTTAACTAGCTGAGCAACTATGGACAAGTTACTTAACCTGTCTGTGCTTGGCTTCTTCATCTGTAAAATGTAGATAGTTATAGAACCTACCTCCCAGACCTGTTGTGAGAGATTTTGGGCTTCTATATGTGAGTGCTATAAGGGTTAGAGGTCTTGAGTGTATTTGTGTTTGCTGCAAATGATGCTTCACAATGTGAGCCCTGGGATAGCACCAGAATCATAACCTTCTGTCCACACACATGTTTGACCTTTCCCATCTACACAGAACCAAAAAAAAAAAAAAAAAGCCAAGTTTTTGATCCTGCTTTTATCAAAGCTGCTTCTCTCATCATCCTTTCAAAGCCAAAGTGTTGAAAAGAGACAGAAGTCTGTGTTTGTCTGATTCTGCTTCCTCATCACTGAGTCATCCCCCCACCTCTTCCTGAAGCTTTCACTCCCTATTCACTGCTACCTTCCTATTGATAAAATCCAGTGGTTTCCCACCCCTTGATTTTCCACCTCCCCAGCTTTGTTTTAAAGGTGTTTATGTCTGCTCACCAACCTTTAGAATATGGTGCTTGCTTGGTTTTAGTGAACTTTCTCTAAGCTGTTTTCCTTCTTAATTCTCCTGCTCTTTCTTCTTCCTTCTCTCTCCTCACTCTCCTTTGTAGAGAGGCAGCCTCAAGCTTCTCCTCATTTTATTAAAAAACATCCATGTTGTGTGTACTGGCTATCCTTCCTATCGTCTTCTGCTGTACACTCTAAATCTCCGCTCACATTGCATTCTAGTGAACAGACAGGCACCTAAACGTGCATAGGCATCTGCGTGTGCATATATGCACGTCATATGTGTACACACTACACATGTACCTACCACACACAGGCTATATGTCCACCTACTGTTATACAGACACAGACATGCGTTTGCCCACTAAAGATGTGTGCATGAACATACACGATATATGTATGAACACTATATAAGTACAAACATACTTTATAACCCTATTCATGTATATATTGTTGTTGTTTCATCACTAAGTCGTTTCCAACTCTTTTGAAACCCCCATGGACTGTAACCCACCAGGCTCCTCTGTCTGTGGGAGTCTCCAGGCAAGAATACTGGAATGGGTTGCCATTTCCTTCTCTAGGAGATATTCCTGACCCAGGGATTGAACTTGTATCTCCTGCATTAGCAGGTGGATTCTACCACTGAGTCACAAGGGAAGCCCATACATATATATATACCCACAATATGAATATGTATATATATACTTATATATATGTACAAATGTGACATATATATGTGTATGTATATATATACACACACACACACAGAGACACTATATATGTACATCCACCATATATATATATACACATGTATATGTGTATATATATATATATATATACTCCATGTATATGTATGTGTGTGTATATATATATACATATATATATATACTCCATGTATATGTATGTGTGTGTATATATATATACATATATATATATACTCCATGTATATGTATGTGTGTATATATATATACATATACACACACACACACACACACACACACACATATATATATATATACACTCCTTCTCTAAATACACACACATGCTATCATTTCTGTCCTGTTTATCAGTTATCTGTGCCCCTAGTACTAGTCTCATTCTTGATAAATATTGGTTCAGTGTTGCATGAATACCGGAAGCAGTGGAAACACAGATTTGTCATTAATCATGTTTTTCTTCATTCATTCTCTCCTGCATCAATTTCCGCTTCCTGACTAAGGCCATGCTCACAACCCATGTTCTAGAGAAGGTCACAGTCTACTAGGAAAAAGAATCAGGCAAGCAGGTGCATCTAATCTAATGTAGTTTGTGCTATAATGTGGGGAGGGTGTTGACAGATTGGTACGGGAGCCCAAAGAAAGACCAGTCATTTGAACACTAGAAATCGTAAAGGATTTGTGTGCATTCACTGGGTGGGGTAAAGGACATACCTGGAAGAAGAAACAGCACTGTCAATCAGAGAGAGATGAGATAACAGAAACAGAAACAGATCATCAGAGCTCTGAGCACTGGGTGAACAAGGAAGGAACATCAAGGCATATTGTCTTGCCGCTTGACAAGCCACTGAAGCTGCCTAGAACTGCTTGCTCATTTGCCCTTGTCACAGGGACTTGGGAAATTGTATGGAAAATTGCTTTGAAAAGAAAGTTAGGCCTTGCTATTATTTGTTGGTTTACGATGAGTCCTGGGTGAATTGAAAACTGCACTCGGAAATGATATGCTAGGCAATGGTTGGTGAGTGGGATATGAATGAGAGTCCCACAGATCTTAAGCAAAGGGGTGATATAATCAGGTCTGGTGGAAGAAGGTAACTGGCAGCAGAGAATGGTAGTGGTGATTCTAGCTAGGACTGTTGCAGGTTATGCCTGGATTCCAATCCTTCCTCCACTGTTTTTGAACTTGTGTGTTTGAACGGATTACTTCAGTTAAGGCTCAGTTTCCTCATCTGGAAAAAGAAGACAGTAATACCTACTCGAAGAATTATGGTGAGGAATAAGGAAGATACTTAGAGAGCTTAGCACTCTGCTCCACCTAGAGCAAACTATAAATAGTAGTTCCTTCTTTAGAAGTTGTTACAGAAGGGTTATGGTTTCAGGTGAGAGATGATAATTGTGTTGCAAAACAAGTTGAGAGAGGTGAAGAAGAAGACATGGATTTCTGTCTTAACGTAAAAGTAATACATGCTCATCATGTCCCTTGTGACTCAGTGGTAAAGAATCCACCTGCCAATGCAGGAGACACAGGTTTGATCCCTGAGTCGGGAACATCCCCTAAGTAAATGACTACCCA